GAAGCTTTAAAATACCCTTCTACAAATATATGTAACATTTTGGATACCAAATGTCACTAAAAGGATCTCTTTTCAAGACCTCTTTGAGTAAATTGTTAGGATTTTAGACAAAAAAACATCTTTGCAAAGGTAAATTTGTGTATTCTTACGACATAATCAAGGCCAGACTCAAACAGCTGAGAATGCCCCCAGTAATTTCCACACGAAAATAATAATAAAAATGGAGAAAAAAGACAAGTATGAGACGAGAAATTTGGAATGGTCTTACTCCATAGCACCAGATTGACAAAGCCGATACGAGATGCAATCGGTATCTATAGTCCAACAACCATGAGTGCTTGATTTTTGGTTAGTAGAACACAGACGGAAAATGGCTTTGACACCTGCACTCACTTGGGCGACTGACGTCTGGAACAGGTCTGTCATAGGTCAACTTGCTGCCATTGGGGCTCAGTGTCACTTTGATAGCAAATCCATCGTAGCCTTTGCCAATGACAAAAGATACATCCAGATATCTGTCACTAGCAACGAATATTGTTCCTGAGTCTGCATGGTAATTGAGCAGACTGATATGATTAATATCAATGTCGAACTCGATAACATTGTTCTGTCCGAATCCAGCAACTTTAAATTCAGGTTCATAGTGTAATTCTAATCTCAACCCAGAAATTCTCAAGTACGAGTTGAAAGACTCCAAGTAGATTACTTGCCCACTAGGAGCACGGACCCGGTTCTGTCTTAGTTCCACATGTAGAATAGAGTCATAGCCCACACTAATGCAACCATTTCCCTCAATTGTTGTCTGTACATCCCAAGTGGTGCTGTACAAACAAATGGATCCGGAATTTTTGATGACTGGTGTACCGTCCGTGAAACCGTTGATATACAATGGAACTTTTCCGTAATTTCTTCGAAAAACTATCATGCCGGTGTTATGCCATTCGTTTTTGAAATCAATAATGAAAGGTTTTGTTCCATCCCTAGCCAAAGAACCGCCAAAAAACATATTGCCAGTGTTCAAGAATTTTTTGTATGTTTGAATTGAAAATTCAGAAGCCTTGTTGCTCAGTAAGGAGTTGAGGATGAAATTTCCGGTATTTCGAAATTCATCACCTTTAATTTCACCACAACATCTGATATTCCCGTGTTTTTCACGTAGAACCTGCCATTGTTGACAAAAGAGCCATCAAATGATACAAGTCTACTGTCCACAATTGCAAAATATGCTCCATCAGAAATTGTCAGCTCCCCCCAATCTACAAAATCTTCGTTTGTTATGGCTAGATTGTGGTTGATTTTTAATGTATGTTTTTTAGTGGCCATGGCCAGGACCAGGTGGAGAACAACAGACAAAACCACGACAGCTGTACGGTTCAATTTCATACTAGATCTGATGGTAGGATGCTTTCGGTTTCAAAATTTTTCAAAAAGTAAAACCCAAGATAATTATTTTGTTTATGTCACAAAGGTAGTGTCAAATGTTTGTTATTAAATAGTGATCAAGCTCTTTTATCTTTTTTTTTATAGTTCATCTTCATCGTTAATCATAGATGACGCAGCCGCAAACGGGGAAACCAGACAATCCCAGGCATCGGTCGCATTTGCAGGACCTTCCATAACAATAAGGATTTGTCAAAATTCTGTCAATTGTGTGATGATAGATTCCAATTAGCACTCGAGCCCTGAAATCAATGCAGAACATTATTGTGATTTATAGGTTATGAGAACTAAAATCTACTAGTATATTCCAGCGGTGGCTTTGACTAGCTTATAAATCATTTGGGCTGTCAACGTCACAATTTTGCTCGCCTTCGGCTAGAGAACATAATGAAAAAGAAAAAAGATTTTTCCCATCAGTCTCCCACATATACAGGCACTCTGACGCCTTCTACCCCTGGTCACAACGCATTTATCACGGACAAAGTGTCTTGGACCTCGTAAAAAAGTGATGTGCCCGAGGCTGAGGGTCTGATCCACTATTACGTTGGCTAATGATTTGTGTATTAAGAGCATTTTTAAATATGTTTCATTACAGTTTGCGTGACTATAGATCTCAAAATAAAAGTCTCTACAGATTCGTGACTCGGCTCCGAGAAATATCTTACACCCGGGCTCTGTATTGACAGTGGCTTAGGTTTATTGCAGCGATACGCAGAAGCTTGTCAAATCAGTGCGGACGAGTAAGTCCACGCCACTTCTTGGTACGCAATCTAAATGTTTTGTTGTGGTCATCAATTGAGGCGCATGCTTTTGCATGACGTTCCTCAATTTTTGTTCGCAATGTTATTCACTCCTATGTAGAAGTCAAGATCAAGTGGCATGTATGTCAGCTCACGTCAATCACCTGATGGGTACGAATGCTCAGATCAGGCTTGCTCATAATTAATCTGTGAAGCCCTTCTCAGATAATAAAACTAATATGGTTCCATGCGATAGATTCATGTCTACACCACTTTATAGAGTTGAGGTGGAAAAAGAGAGATTTGTAGAATGAGCGTTTTTCGTACATTTTAAGATCAGAGAGCATACAATCAGCTTCATGATTAGATAGTTGAAAACGTGGAGCTGCAAATTTCGCAAGAAGCTAAAATGTATTAAACTCAATAGTAAGTGCTGCGGATGCATTTGATTCGAGAGTTGTAATCAAGAAATAATACTACGTTTCGGAAGTTACGCGTATTGTTGACCTACTGTCTCCTCTCATATCAAATCACGGAGTAGACTGCTTCTCTTCAGCTTTATGTACCCAGAATACCGTGCAAATTGAGCTCAAGATTTCAAGATATCCCAAAAACAAAATTCTCTCCAAAATTAGTTTCTTTGCTCGATAGCTCTCTTTTGTTATGCATTTTAAAACGTACCCCTACAGCGTTAATGTAACTGCAGTTTCCGGGGGATTATACCGTTTTTCATGAGCTATTAGACACATGGCACGTTGGTGAGAGATATACGTGACATCTGGGATGTTGTATATGCCAGATGGATTGAAACTCGGTTAACTAGAAGGAAGTGCCTTAGTACATGACATTGAATCTTTTTTTTTTTGGTAGATTCATCTGATTAAAGGGGCAAAACTATATAAATAATATATATAAAAACCTTTAGACAGCTCCCAGCTACATACCAAGTGTCTTAGCTCGGCCCGTCCCCTTTCGTTAGTCACGGTCTGGACGGTCCTCATGGCCCGTATCTGTTTACGTATTGGATATTACGTCATCGGCTCCTAAAATAGGTTTCCTGTAGTAGTCGCTTCAACTCAGATGGTTGTAGATATGGCTTAGAACGTCGGTGGCGTCTCCGTTGTTGTAGATTTGTTCTGTGCAAAGATGGCATTGAAAATGTGATGTGTCGCTCGGTAGGGTCCTGCGCGGGACATATGATCCGTAATTGAAGTGATGGATGGACGAAAGATCATATCGCTTTATCTTTTCTTTTATTCCGCCTTTTTTCTTTTTTTTTGGTAGATTCCCCAGACATTGAAATAAAATGCAGTTCATATCAAAGGGCCTGTTCCAAGTCAGGCGACCTATATCCGCTGAACAGCGCTTTTCAAGTATAAATCAATAAGTCAATTATTACTCATAGAACTGTTTTCAAACCCAATAGGGCTCTGTGGCCGAGCGGTCTAAGGCGGCAGACTCAAGTTCTGTTATCGAAAGATGCGCGTGTTCGAATCACGCCGGAGTCATTTTTTGTCTCGTCTATCATTGTTGGAAAGCCACTTCTTTGGTTGTGGAAATTCCCCCACATAAAGGTGATTTAGAGAACTTTAGAGATATGAGTGCACGGAGGACCAGTACGTTGCGATCTTTCTCGAGTACGTCC